CCCGCCTCCCCAGGACTGAGTCTGTTTCTAGGCAGTGGGTGAAAAGGGCCGAGAACTTGCCCCAGGCTACTACCCTCCCAGCTGATAAGTAAGCAGGACTTTCATGCCTCCCCATCTGTTGAGTCTGCACATCAGAGTCATGCCCTCCCCCAAGTTCTGGCTAGGAAACTCTGGTGGAATTGTTACAAAACTCAGCTGGAGCGTTCCTTCTCCCTGTGGTCTTTTCTTAGTTCCTCTGGCAGCCTTCCCCAGGGACCCCTGTGAGACACGTCAGAAATGGCTTCCCTAGGGACCCAGCGAGACCACAGGACTCTTCCCACTGCTTCCTCTACCTCGGTATTTCACTTAGCTGTCTACATTGTCTCAGCTCCAGGTAAGGTCAGATCCTTCTCCCATGATCTGGACTTTCAGGTCCCTCAATGAAGGTGTGTATTCAGGGGTGGATGTTCCTCCTTTCCCACTTTCACAGTTTGGACACTCACAGTATTTGGGCTGTCTCCCGGGTCCTGAGGGAGGAATACGCTTCCTTCAAAGGGTCAGTAGATTCTCTTGGTTTTCCTGGTATATTCCTGCAGTCGTTCTTGTAGCAAAAGTTCACAATGTGGTTCTCCACACCCTGCTCTGTGATCCGAGTGAAAACTGCAATTTAGTCCTGCCTCCTATCTGCCATTATCCCCCCCTCTCCTTGGAGCTGCTCTTTCGTACTTTCTGTGCCTGGGATCCTTTCTTCTTCCCCATTTGAGTCAGTTTTTGAACAACTTTGCATTTGTATAGGTGAGACTGGTGGGTTTTCCATTTGCCTAGGAGGTTGGAAACCTGAGGTATAATATACAATTTACAAACTGGTGTGTTGTGGTTGGTTGCTTGTTTCTTTCACATTACCTGGGGCTGGCAGGCAGCAGCTGGTGTCCCTAAAGAGGTGCAGATGGAAAGCATCAACACTGACAACAGCCCATCATCAATTTCCCCTTCCTGATAAGGAAGTTGCTCTGTGAATCAGGCCAACTCCCCTGGAACCACAGGGCCAGGAGATCTGGCTGTGTGAGGGAGGGCAGGAAAAGCTAGAGGACCTGAGATGGGGAAGGGGGAATGAGAGAGACATAGGATGCAGAACCAGGCTAGAAAGCAAAGAGTGAGAGCACATCAGAACCAACCAAACAACAACAACAAAGGAAGGGGCTCCACAGCACTGAGCATTTCTGAAGTCTCAGGCTCACTATGGGGCCTCTTGCCACAGTGTTCCATCAATATCACAATAATACCTACCTTGCAGGTTGCTGTGAGGTTTAAAGGAGCTAATGCACATGGGATACCTGGCCCAGCATGCTGACCTTAGAAAGTCCCTACAACTACCCATGTTATTTAAAAAAATTATTAAGATGGTGGACCCATGATCAGGCCCTCGTGTGGCGACAGAACAGACTATCCGGGATTCTGATGGCATGTCCTTCCTCTCTACTTGCCACTTAGCACTTCAGAGTCTCAGGGCACATGTCATATCTCACCTTGAACGAGGTGCCAGGTTGGCCTAGGGCAAGAATTCAAAAGGACTGGGAGGTCTAGGAGAGGGCACCCAGCTTGTCTCATTCTCAGAGCAGAGGGGCAAAGTCAGCCCTTTGCTCACGGCTTGCCACTGGAATTTGGCATCAGTCTCCCCATTGAATCTCTTTTCGCTAGCCATGCCTTAAAAAACAAATACTGGTCAGTTGTCAAAGTTCACCTGGTCTTGCCAGCCAAATCCAGGAGCACTTGGCCAACATCATGTGTCTGATGACTCAGCATAGTGGAGCCCACTGTGTGCTCTGAGCAATGCTTTAAAGCAAGTCAGGAATATCAATGCAATGAGACTGCTTAGTCAATCTGCACCCTGCTGGGTGAATCACACTCCAACACCTGCATGTTAGAGCATTCACTGCGGCTGAGTATATTGCCAGCAACCCTTCCCTGGTGCCTGTTTCTCCTTCTGTCAGTGGAGACCTCCTTAAAATGCTGCCTTCGGACAAACTGTCTACACAGCGCTCAGCCTATGTCAGTCAGTATGTAAGCTAGGAATCTTTTTACAGACAGTGAACGTTAAAACCAGCAGGACACCCTAAGTTGCTCAAAGAGAGAGTGATAAAAACAATGGTTAGAATTTGAAGCAAAAGGGAACAATCTCTTCTTCATATGGGTATAATAACAGAGCAAACCTATTACAAAATCAATGCATTATTGGCACAGACCTGCAATTCAGCAGGTATCCAAATGTTGATGTGATAAATGGTAACGCAGCACTGAATATCTTAAGAATCAATACCTTAGGTGCACATTTGAGGACTCCTTAAATATCCGCTTCCAAGCCCCTGCCATCATCCCTGGGTATTCTACAAAGCAGAGATGGCTTTTCAGAGTGACCCCGGGGAGGAGCAGTTGGCTGGGCATCCAGGACAGAGGTGACTGCAGTGCCCCAGCCATATGAAAGTAGGCTCCAGCCAAGGGTTCCACCCAGTAGAAGCATTAATGCCTTCAGTATAACACAAGCTACTAATTAATTCAATAAATAGGCCTTTTGGAATGGCTCCACTTAAAATTATAAAATAAAATATATTTGCTAGTCTCCTAAAACATTCACTTTTCTGCAGAGTTGCCTCTTTCTACTCCTTGTAGTGAAGAGTCCAGCAAAGAGCTGAGCAACATGATTGGCTTCAGACACATTTGGATAGTCAGCAATCCTGGGATATCTCTTGGGTGTCCCTTCTCACCTCTGGCGATGGTTTTGCCTCCCAAAGTGTCCTCTCCTTCTCCTTGGCTCTAACCCTACCCGACTTTCCAGAACCAGAGTACACCCCTGCCCCAGAATGCCTTTCCTGATCACCTCATCTTGTAGAGCTCCGTCCTTCTGCACGTATTTGTCTCATAATCATTTCTGTGTCTTGTACTCTCCCCTGATGTATTCTTTAGATTCATAACATTATGGTTATGTAGCTTGTCTCCTGTTGTAGGGTTGCTTCTTTGCAGGGACTGTGCCTACTTTGGTGTTCTCCATAGAATGCTTCTCAGACATAGCGTGTGGTACAAATGCCCAAGATCTTGTCAAAATGCAGAGTCTGATTCAGTGGGTCTGTCTGGGGGCAGGACCTGAGAATCTGCGTTTCTAATAAGCTGTCAACTGATGTCAAAGCTAGTCTATCTGGGGACTATCGTATCTAGGGCAATGTCACGTGTGTGGTAGATTTTCAACAAATAGTTATTCATCATGGGCTCTTTTACTTATTCTCCACCGTGGCCTGCAGAGCTGAGTCCTCCATCCCCTTTGAGGAGCAAATATGCAGAGGTCCTGAAAATTGTGTGCCAGACTTTGGTCCTCCCCAGAGCCAGGATGGGCTCCATGCTCCTCCCACCTGCTCTGGCCTGTGGCAGCATTCCTGCGTTGTCTCTATGAGCAAAATAGCGTGCATCAGGCATGATGTGACAGCGCTGACAAAACAGACAAAATGTCAGGTCTCATAGCTTTGAAAGATGAAAATTTCCTGCCCATTAAATAAGCATTTCTCAGGTTGTTTTCTCCATTGGTACTAAATATTAAAGTCACAGGTCTCAGAGTCTGTGTAGGCTCAAAATATGCTCCATTCCACAAGCTGCTATGTTTTGCCAACTTTACAAACGACAAAAAATAGTTTGAATACAGAAAACATCAATCTACACAGAGAAATGATATTTTGCCATGTGACTGAACATTTTTTTTTTCCCATCATCAATATTTATTGAGCATTTACAGGCACAATAGAACATACAGAAAACATTGTCCCTGCTCTTGAGGAGCTTACATTCTAAAAGAAAAAATACACCTCTTTTAAAATGGCATTTTTGTTTGGTGTTTTCTGCAAAGTACTGAGGAAATATTTTGTAAAGTGAGCTTTGGGTATAACTTAGCCCCATCATTATTTAGAGAATAGAGGAAGAGAAAAAGGAAGGATTTTAAAGGCAGACAATGACATTCAGGATAGGTAGGGTTTTAAAGGGAGATAAACACAATCTCATCAACTAAGGAGAGATTTGCTATAGTAAATAGGATGAGGGAAATAGTTTGTGGGATGCAAGCAAAGGAAGCAGGGTATCTTAGACATTGAGTGGAGCCAGAAAGATCATGCGGCCTTTTTCCAAGTACACGGCCACCAAGTAGGAATGGTTGGTGTCAAGACAGAAGGCTGAAAAAGGTAGTCTTATGACCAATAGAAAGAATAAAGGATCAAAGTCGAAGGCAGGCTATAAGAGTATCAAGAAATTCTTTTTTTTTTTTTTTTTGAGACGGAGTTTCGCTCTTGTTATCCAGGCTGGAGTGCAATGGCGCGATCTCGGCTCACCGCAACCTCCACCTCCTGGGTTCAGGCAATTCTCCTGCCTCAGCCTCCTGAGTAGCTGGGATTACAGGCACGCGCCACCATGCCCAGCTAATTTTTTGTAGTTTTAGTAGAGACGGGGTTTCACCGTGTTGACCAGGATGGTCTCGATCTCTTGACCTTGTGATCCACCCGCCTCGGCCTCCCAAAGTGCTGGGATTGCAGGCGTGAGCCACCGGCGCCCGGCCTAAGAAATTCTTAAAAACCAAAGAGTGATTTGGAAGCACAAAACTTACAGTTAATGCTACCCGATGTCATGATGGGCCAAGAACATTGTGGCTTCCTAAGTTAGAAAATGCCATATAACAAAATCTTAAATGGAACATATTACTTTTTTTTTTTTTTTTTTCCGATCAATCTCCCCCTCTCCCAGAAAAACATAGGAACTCATTTTTTTTCAGGGCGGGGAGGAAGAGAGGGGACCATGGGACACAGTTGGAAACAGTAGTTATAGTAGTAGCATTTTTGTTGTTGTTATGATAAACTTTGTGTTTAAACTTGGTAAAAGCCCATTAGCTGCCAAGAGGGAATACGGAATAAATTTCAAAAAATGTACAATTTCCTTTAGAGAAGTTTCAGAACCAAAAGACTAATTCACATGAAAATCTGTAGAGAAAGTAGTTGAAAAGTCCATTCATAAAACTTTTATTCCACTTACATGAATTTAATACACATGTTCTTAACAATTATGCTTGGATTGTTCATGAAAATTTCATAAGACATTAAACAAAGCTAGCCATCATCTCAAGTTATTTCCCTGTTAACTATTTTTACAGCACATGCATGTTAGGCAAGTATCAAAAAAAAAAAATCACAAAAGCAAAAAACCTAAAAAAAAGTTAAATACATGGGTTTTTGTTTTACTGCTGTGCTTGATATACACAAAGTAATGAATACCAAGCAATTCATTTTTACTGCATCTTTACTTTTACATTTGTTCTTAGGTTGCCTGAGACATTTAAATACAAATAAAATGAGTGTAGCAAAAATAATGAAAGCTAACAGCAGGTAACTTTACAAATAATGGAATGTGAACTGTTTCTGCCCTTATCCAGAGTAAAATGGGTCACAACTTTGTCTAAAGGAACACTTCTGCAGCTGTAGTCAAAGGTGTGAACTTTGAGATTGAGTACTCCACAGATAGACATGGTTTAACATGTGGTATCCATGGGATATTTGTTTCTACCACAGCCTTTGAAGTGCTCCAAACCTTAAAGTACCCACAATTACTACACCTGTGACTGGAACCAATGATCCCTTTTATCCCCCACCAGGACAAACCAATATGTAGGCAGTTTTCTTTGCTTAGACATGGAAGCAGTTTTAACACTGGCCCTTGTGAAGCCACAATGTACCAAAAGTACTATGCCAAACATTTATAACTTGTATAAAAATTCCACATCCCCATATTGGCCACCTCAAGATGAGAATAGATTAATTCCCTAAATGTTAACTGGCTCTACTCCCCTAATATTAAACATAAAAACCACATGGGAAATATAGAAATTCAAATAGAAGTAACATAAACCTGTCATAAATCGTAAACAAAAAACTATTTGTGGGACAGCATGGATGACAAATGGTCTACTGTGTAAATTTTAGAATGAGGCAGACAAAAGTTGGAAGGCCGGTTAATTTTCCCCTCCTTCTCCTGCTTCAGCTTCATCTCCTTGGGTATCCGATGTCCACAATGTTAAGTTGTCGCTCAGTAATTGCATTATTAGCGTGCTGTCTTTGTATGACCCTTCACTTAATGTATCAAGTTCAGCAATGGCTTCATCAAAAGCTGTCTTTGCAAGAGAGCAGGCTTTCTCTGGGGAGTTCAGAATCTCATAATAGAACACAGAGAAGTTAAGGGCCAGACCCAGTCTGATAGGATGTGTTGGTTGCATTTCCTTTTTGCTGATTTCAAAAGCTTCTTGGTATGCTTGTTGTGACTGATCCACAATCCCTTTCTTGTCATCACCAGCGGCAACCTCAGCCAAATAACCGTAGTAATCTCCTTTCATTTTCAAATAGAAGACTTTGCTCTCTGCTTGTGAAGCATTGGGGATCAAGAACTTTTCCAAGAGAGACAGTACATCATTGCAGATATCTCTTAGCTCTGTCTCAATTTTCTCTCTGTATTCTCGAGCCATCTGCTGTTTTTTCTCAGCACCTTCCGCCTTTTGTTCAATACTTGAGACGACCCTCCAAGATGACCTACAGGCTCCTACAACATTTTTATAAGCAACTGAGAGAAGATTCCTCTCCTCATGCAGGCTGCCATGTCATCATATCGCTCAGCCTGCTCGGCCAGTTTGGCCTTCTGAACCAGCTCATTTTTATCCATGACTGAATGTTCTGTGTCCGGAGTGGGTGGTGGCGGCGGACGGACAGGGGCTCAGCAGTCTCTGGGCGGCGGCGGCAGCAGCGGCGAGGCTCGTGACTGAATATTTTTAATAAGATTATATTTCCTCGGTAAAGTAGAAAAATCAGCAATGCAAGCAAGGCTGTTATGGTTCATAAATGATCCAACTACTGATGATACATGACACCAACATGTGCACATAGGTTTTATTTTTTAAGCGGTGTTCTATGCTAGTAAACGATAAACTAGCAAAGAACAATAGCCTTCAAACAGCTAGACATGTTTTCAACACATCTAACACATAGCCTACAAAGTAACCAGTGTGAATTGGAACTGAACGTCCTTTTCTTTGTGGTAGCTTATATGTCTTTTAATATCTCAATAAGTGTAGGCTAACAGAAAAGTAGAATAAACTGTAAACGGCTCTGCCCATGTCTAGCACCTAGCAGGTATTCAACAAACAAATGTTGTTAAGCAAAAATGAATGAAGGGAGGGAGGAAGACAGCGGTAAGCAGCCTTATGGCTTTGTGAATGGGTCCACAATGTGGTATTTTGTACTTGAACCAGAAGTTGTATGAAAATGAGACATGAACATTTACAGGGTCATAGTCACTATTATTAAATAATGGGTGCCACGCTGCACAGCTCGTCCTTAACTGACTAAAGATGAACTCTGCTTACAGGCATTGACACACAGAGATGGAGCTGCCAATGACTCAGTTGGCCCGGCCAGTGACACAGTATTGTTTTAATGAAAAAGAATCCAGCCTGCTACGTATTTATGCGTATACACTCACTGAAGGTAGATATCATGTCAAGTCCAGAGTACTTTAGGTTTTCACAATGACAAAATAAGAATTCATTTGCTTAAAAAAATTAGAATACATCATTCTAAAATATTTACATCTATAAAAGAAAAACAGTATGCATTTTCTTAAATGGTTTCTTTCAAAATCTAGAACAAATCAGAAAATAACTTATAAAGATGATTCTATAAAAATAAGAACTTTTGTAGCATTAAGAAAATCTGGCCTGGTGCAGTGGCTCACACTTGTAATCCTAGCACTATGGAGGCTGAGGCGGGTGGATCACTTAAGGTCAGGAGTTTGAGACCAGCCTGACCAACATGGTGAAACTCTGCCTCTACAAAAAATACAGGAATTAGCTGGGTGTGGTGGTGCGCACCTGTAATCCCAGCTACTCGGGAGGCTGAGGCATGAGAATCACTTGAACCTTCGAGGTGGAGGTTGCAGTGAGTGGAGATTGAGCCACTGCACTCCAGCCTGAGGGACAGTGTGAGACTCTGTCTCACAAAAAAAGAAAAGAAAAGAAAATATTAAGCAAAGTAAAAAGGTAAAAAGGCAAATAAATTTTAAAAAATATAAATTGTAGCTCAAGTAATTAATATCCCTAATATAGAAAAGACATAAAAATAGAGAAACAAAAGACCAGTGATTGTATAGTGCAAATAACACTTCACTGTATGCTCAATCTCAATCATAAGATAAAAATGAGATTTAAAACTGCACTGATAAAACTTCTCATCTATCAAATTGGAAAAAATCCAAAAGTTTGGCAATATCGTGTAATTAGCAACGCTGTGGGAAAATTGGCGCTGTCAGTCATTGCCGGTGGGATATAAAATGGTACAACCTCTAGAAAGAAGAATTTGGCATTGTCCAGCAAAATGAGGTTTGAATTTACCTTTTGCTCCAATTATCCCACTTCTGGAAATTAATCTCAAGAAAGATACTCGAGGATGCATGCACAGGGTATTTATTACGTGCAGGATAAATGCCCACCAACAGGGGAAGGTGAACAAACCAGGACACAGCCAGACAATGAACCCGAAGAAAGCAACACTCTTAGGGCCCAGATCAGGGTGTCTAAATACTGTGTCCCACTGAAAGACACAGGGCACCTTAGAAAAATGGCTAATTCTGAGTCTGGAGTAATAAATGTGCAAGAAAATCCCAGAATATGTTGTCATACAAGACATCGATCAATCAATCAATCAATCAAGCTCTCAAAGAGTCAGATCAAAAGGAACTGATCCAATTTTAAGAAGCCTGCTCTGGCCAGTGAAGGAACAATTGGAATATCATTAAGGAAAGTAACTGTAATGGATATGAACATACAGAACATGCTTGAATCCCTGAATTTATAAAAATACTTGAAAAAAAAAACCTTACTGGTTAGCTTTAGAAGACATTAGAAATCCAACTTACTGTTTTTAAATTGGTTAAGAAAAAGTAAAAATTAATTAATTCCTTTTACCATTCCTACATAAAATGTACTTTAGGGAAATCAAATCATTGATGAGAGGAAGCTTCTCTTCACAGAAGTTTTCCAGTTAGTAAAAAGAAGATGATAGAATATCATTATTGCACAGTCTCTGATCAATTAATGAATTTAGGCAGTTCATTAATGGGTGCTATTGATAAACAGATAACCAGACAATATGCTTCTTGCAGTGAAACTACACAGAACCAAATGTGAATTATTCTAAAAAAAGAAACTAAAAGAAACAAAGAAAAAAACCAGAATAAGATCACAATGCAAGCAAGCTTTTATCTAATTACATCTAATTATCAACTTACAGGAAATACAGAGGACAAAATAACATGGTAAATGACACCATAGAGATGCAATCAGCAACATTCACACTGCGGAAAATTCTCAAGAGAAACTGCTGTCTTCAACAAATGAGTTATAAGAGGCAAGGAAAAAATAGAGGAGGCACCTATAGATTAAAAGATATTTTAGAGACCTCTCAACTAATTGCAATATGTGGATATGGATCTTATTTAAATCCTGATACAGACAAACTATTACAAAAGGATTTCTGAGATAACTGGAGGGATTGAACAGTGGATAATTTCTAACATCGTGATAACATTTGGGGACAGAGTCTCACTGGGTCACCCAGACTGGAGTGTAGTGATGCAATCTCGACTCACTGCAACTTCCACCTGCTGGGTTCAAGCAATCATTTTGCCTCATTTCTCTAGTAGCTGGAATTATAGGAACGTACCACCACGCTTGCTAATTTTTGTATTTTTTTTGTAGACACAGGGTTTTGTCATGTTGGCCAGGCTGGTCTCCAACTCCTGGCTGCGAGTGATCCGCCCGTTTCAGCCTCCCAAACTGCTGGATTACAATCATGAGCCACTGCACCTGGCCATTTTTTAGAAATACATATATTCAGAAATACCTTAAAAGAAATTATATAATATCTGACTTTCCTTCAAAGCAATCTAATGGCAGGAGGGGATGGATGGGGCTATAGATGAAATGAGATTGGCCTTGAGTTACTAATTGTTGAAACTGGGTGATGCATACATGGTGGTTCACTGTACTATTTCCCCTCTGTAAATGTGGAATTTTCAATAATAAAAAGGTAAGACAAAATATAAAATTAAATAAAGGAATAGGAACCTCCTGTATCTTCCCTGCCTGGGTTTGTGATGACTTTTATTTCTGGAACGCTTTACTCTAAGCCTCCTGTAAACGTTATGGGATTCAAATCCACTCTTAGGTGGCTTTGCAGTAGGAGGTGGCCAATGAGAGAATTAAGGAAGGGGGGTGAATGAAGTCTCCATGACTAGGACTTGAAATAGAGAGTGACCTGATAATTCTAAATTCAGTGACATGATCGCTCCTAACCAGACGTGTGGAGTGGGATAAAGGGGTGCATGTATGTACATGTGTGTGCCTGTGTGTGTTCTAAAGTCCTAGGGGGACATGAACATCATCCTTGAGTTGCTAGCTAGGCCTTCTCACCCAGCAGGGAGGAGAGTGCTGTCAGCTGCATTCACCATACCGAAGATATCTTTCCTTTACCTGCGCCCCTCCTTCTGCAGAAAGGGATTTAAGGAAACCTGAAGGTCAAGGCGGCCATCCCTTTGTTGCTATTTCGTAAGCTCTAAACTCGTACTCATGGAAACACCATGGGATGCACTGACCCTAAGATCATTAGGCATCTTTGAGAAGATCTAATGTGGAGGTTTAGCCACATCCGTTTGAAAAAGATGGAAGTCAGAGAGCCCCACAGTGGGGCCATGGCCACCTGAGGCTCACCTACACAACCAACAAACCACCAGAAGTGGAGCTACAGACTGTCAGTTCTAGCCAGGTGCTGTCATTACTCACTCTCATTTCCTAGGTGTTGGTAGTAGATTACAAAAAATGTCTATGGAAATCAAGCCCTAACAATTCCAGGGTTGAGCCATAGCAGTGATACTGCTGAACTGCTGGAATTTCCTTCTGCAGTGAGTCTGACAACCGAAGGTCATGGAAGCTGAGAAGAGGATAGAGTTGTGGGAGAGGCTTTTTTTCCTTTTTTCTTTTGCTCTTTCGTTCTAAGGAAGCATACCGAATTCCACCACTGAAGTCAAGGAGGCTTTTGCTGTCAGTCTCATATAAATGCTTCATTCTGCTGCGTGCCGCTCCACTCCCTTTATTCCCTTCTTTTATTGAACCTGAATTGCAGTTATTTTTAACATAATTGGTAAAAATTCAAGAGAGTTAATGCCGTGTCCTTGGCTCATAAAAACCTTGCTTTTCCTTAGATGTGCTTCAACTCAGTGCTGATAAGAATGTCAGGTATTAACTGCAGGATGACTATAGTTAACAATAACATATTATTAGTTTCAAATAGCTAGGAGGAGGATATTGAATGTTTCCAACACAAAAAAATAATAAATGCTTGAGATAATAGATATGCTAATTATCCTGGTCTGATCACTATACATTATGTGTATTAAAATAGCCCCATGATGTACCATTACTATTTGTCAACTAAAAAATTGTTTTTAAAAGCCAGGTATTAGTGAAGAAATTTTTGAACATTTGAATTAAACCTGTTCTCCCAAGTATTCAGGTTTGTTTTGTAAAACAAAGTGTCTCCTGATTGTCTTTGTTTTAAATGCTTTTCATTAGCTTCAGCCATTAGCTTCATCAAGAAGATGGACCTTCAGCTGAATTGAAACATTCCCTAAAATTCTCTGTTCACCAAAACAACCAGTGTAGTTCTATTCTACTCCGGTCTGAAATTATCACAGCTGAGGAAGTTCTTAG